TTCAGTGTATGAGTGTACTGCCTGCTTACATGTTAAGGACAGCCATGTTGTGCAGTGCCTGCAGAGGTTAGAAGAGGGTGTCAGATCCCCTGGAACTGGAGTTACAGATGGTTGTTAGCTGCCATGAGGGTGCTGGGAACCAACCTGAGTCCTCTTCAAGAGTAGAAAGTGCTTGTAACTCCTAAGCCATCTCTCCAGCCTCTCCTCTAATCTTTAAAATAAGGTTAACAATGTCTAAGCATTCAGATAGCTATGATGAGGGTTAGTTGAGATAAAAATTTTAAAAATATTTTATTATTTTTGTTTTATGTGTATGAGTGTATTGCCTGCATGTATGTGAGCGCACCCGTGTCATGCCACGCTGCGGAGGTCAGAAGAGGGCTTTGGATTCCCCTGGAACCGGAGTTAAGGACAGTTCGTAGCTGTCATGTGGGTGCTGGGAATTGAACCCGGGTCCTCTGCAAGAGCAGTCAGTGTTCTTAACTGCTGAGCCATCTCTCCAGTCCCAAGATAATAATTTTTAAAATGCTTAGACTACCAATTGACACACATGAAACACTAGGAAAGATGCTTTCTAAATAAAGTGGAGTAGACTTCTCATTTACATTTCCCTATAATATTACTTTTTCAGACTTTACATCTTCACATTCACCCCAGAAATGAAAAATCTACCGATATTTCCCGAGAGACTTTTTTATAGAACTGTTTAAAACAGAACACTTTCATAAGTCTGGAAGTTCTGTCAGGTTTATATTAAAGCTTTAACTGACTTTCCAAGTGAATAGTTTAAAAAATAGATGACCAAAAAGATTATCAAATGAATACTTTATTAGTCATAACGCTTATAAAATAAATTTCTTGTCATCATGGAGTTATCAGAATTTTAAGACCAACCAATACTTTCTCATTTTTACAGCTAAGATATGTAAAGAGATTCTTAAAGGCCATATTTTTTGTTCAAACTCTTTGTCACTCAGTTCATGACTCTAGAATGCAGTCAATCTACAAATCTAAGTATTCACAGTTACTGAGCTTTGGGTGTGGTTCTTAATAATCTAGAAGTAATTCATTTACAAAAGTGTCACCAATACATTCGAATGAAATCATTTAAGTTAATACCACCCAGCATGGCCTGTTATGCCTTGGCAAACAATAAATCTCACAACTAAATTCCATAATAATACCACTACCTTTTAGTAATTCCTAGTAGAATGCATAACATATCTTTATGGCACATTTATAACTTCATAATATATAATTCATAATACAGGATTGGATGTGTGGTATGGAGCTAGAAAAATCAAGGACACCAGGTATTATAGAAAAGACATGACAGAAATATAAAACCTTAAGACTGATTTCTTCAAGCCACATACTGAAATATATCTCATCTTTCTTTATATCTGTATCTCCAACCGAGTTCTGATAAGGTTCTTCTTCCAGGAGAATATTAGATAAAAGCCTTAGAGCACCGGGCACTGGTCATGCTATTCAGTCACAACTTTTCTGTTCCATGAAATCCAATATTCCAACTTGCACATGGCACTTGTAGGTGATGTACCAGCTAAGAAACTGGTGATGTACCAGCTAGGAAGCTGTATGCTGAAAGAATAAACCAATCCAAAATCCCCTTTCCAGAGGCAGCTCTGCTAGAGTAACAAGGGAGTTCTAAGCATGGAGAAGGTGGTAGGAACTGTGGCCTAACCCTAACTTGTTCTTTCATTTAAGCCATTTTTTTGGTACGTTGTCATACCCAGTGTCGGTAGGAGGGTTAAGACTGTGTTCTGTACTATTTAGTCAGAGCCCACTTTTATGCTAGCTATTGTTTCAAAGCCAACTTTGTCACAAATGCAAAAACAACATAGATATCTGGGCTATTATCAAGACACGCAAGAATCTCTAGCTTTATGACATTTAATATTCTACTCGAATTTAACTCAGAAAGTAATGGAAAAACAATCAGTAAAAAGTTAACTCTTTAGAGAGCTATTTGGAAAAGCTTTACATACATAAATATTTATATATTCATGCACAGGGCAAACAACCATATTCTAAAGCATAAATAAACTAAAGCAAGATATCAGTAGCTGGATACCAGTTCCAGTAGTGATTAAAGGTCTCTGGGGACCCTGGCTTATGCACTCTCATATGAGAGTGTTGCTAAGCTATTAGTTTGATTAAACAAATGGGATTTATTTCATACATTATTTTTCTCTATACTGAAGGCTCTGCTGGGGTTAGCATAAGAAACTATATGCCCTTCCAAGGGTAAGTATCTGACCATTAACAAAAGGCAATGTTATTATTGCATAATGAGACTAAATATATTATGCAGCTTGTCTAATGGGGTTTATAAACTTTCATGATTAGTTCAATAAAATGCAGAACACCTAAGGTTTTCATGGAAGTAGTTGATAAAACTGTAGCCTGTGGGCCTAATCCAGCCTTGCTCTCCCCTTGTAAATAAAGTTTTATTTATTTACATGTTGTCTATAGCTGCTTTTGAGCTACCATAGAATTGAACAGTCTTCAGAGACCATATGACCTCTTAAGCCTACATATGTGCCACCTGACCCTTTTATAGAAAGAGTATCAATTCCTGTTTTACATTAAAGATAGTATTAAATGAAAAGCCTGTTTATGATTGATTTACTTATTCTTTTTAAGGTTAAGGTGACTTAACAACCAAACAGAGGAGTTCTATTTTTTTTTTTGTGAAGAGTGTCTGTGTATTTTATGGATATAGTAAAACTTTCTTTAAAAAGAAAAGAAAGAGACATGAAATGAAAGAATACTTTTCTAACATAATAAAGTTAAAATTCCACCCATGTAACGAACACCAGCTTTCGCTTAGGTTCTCTCTGTACTAAGGAAATATGCTTGGAATGTTACATCTGGACAAATGGCATTCAAAGTGATCAGACATATTAAGTAGACAAATGAAATTAGCACAAGACTATCAGTTTCCAAGGAGTGTTACGGTCGCCATCTTCGTAAAGCCAGACCCAAGCTACAACCATAACAAGCAGTTGTCATAAAGGCAAAAATCTAAGAAAAAGGAAAGAAAAGTGAATATCAGAGTCATAACACTGACTTTAAGCAAATACATCCTCCTAATTGACCACTGAATACAAACTGGCTAACCGACCTGAAGACACTTCAACACTTAATAAAAATATTTTAGATTGATATACTTTTTGATAACTATGCTTTATTCTTTCTCTTTGTACACTCTAGCTCTTCATAATTCTTGCATCTGCAGACAGTCTTCTGCATTTGTTCACATACTGGACTCACTTTTTAAGAATTTATGAAACCCCAGGAACTGCATTCAAAAATTCAGTATGAATTATAAGGCCATAGAACAGTTTCACAGCCAAGAAAGGCTGTAACTATCAAAACCTGTGTATGTATCAAATCATTTCTATGATTTTAGAACTCAACAAAAAAAAAAACACACAGGAACGAATCATGAGTTCAGCTCTTTCTTGTGTTGGAGACAGGTCTCATGAACAAGCCTGCACCTTGCTCTGGACTGCTCCCTCGGAGCCAGCAAGGACTTGTATAGCACCAGCCATGCATATATCACTGCACTAGATAAGTGAATAGGCAATATTATCCTCACATGACATTTTGGGGTTTACCATCCAAAGAAGATTATAAGACAATATAGTCCAAAATGATAAAATACACTACTATTATTATTTTGATTTTTATGTGTATGAATGTTCTGCCTGCATGTATATAAGTGCACAGTGTATATGAAATGTCCATGGAGGCTAGAAGAGGGTGTCAGATTCCCTGAACCTGCACTTCTGGTAGATAGGTTGTATGGATGATGAGAACTAAACATAGGTCCTCTGCAAGAGCAGCCAGTGCTCTTAACCACCAAACCATCTTCCCAACTCCTCAAAAAGGTAAAATATTTGTGATTTAGGGTAAACTATGGCTCTGAGAAGGACCATCAGATTCACACACAGAACATTTTTGCAGTTTAATTACCATTCTACCCTTCTGGAGATGCTTATTTCTCTAACATATTTCTAATGTTACACTAGAAATTTTCCTTTGACATTTTCCTTTGAGTGAAAATAACTGCTCTAGGTATCTATTATTAGTGAAAAAGAACATTCTTCATTCTCAACTATACTGAGAGAAAAAGAAAACTGTAAGACTCGACATAATGTCACACATGAATGGCTGATCAATTTTAGTATTCTGAAAACTCAGGACCTAAATCTGCTGAGGCTGGACTGTGTGAATGAAATGGAACTTCATGGAGAACTTGGAGAATACGTTGGCTTATGGAGGCAGCTTCACTCAGGCAGAGAGAAGGAGATAATGTTCCAGAGGAACTTCATCCAGAAAAGAACAATCTAGAGAATTCTGGAAGCTGGGCCCTTAGGGAGCAAGGACGAAACAGGAAACACTGGGTTCACTAATGTGCTATACAAGCTATTAAATTAAATACCAATAGAGCCATTTCATTCCAGAAAATAATTTCAATTTGTGATAGTTTAAAAAATTATGCATGAAAACAAAAGCAGAATTTGTTCACTTTGTCTAACATAAAATGACAAGTTCAGCATAGCACATGAATGAAAGGCGATGCATCTTTAAAAGTCCTTACGGAACACTTCCACCTGCATTCCAGCTATTCTGATGGTTGGAATACTGGCCTTCCCACTCAATGGTACTGTCCCCAACAAGAGGAACTGCGACTTACTCATGTCAACCCCAAGTCCCAGCAAATTACCTGATTTATGGCAAGCTTGTGGAAAATATTCATTTTAAAAGAATGAATTAAAAATAGGTATAAAACAGAAAAGAGCAAAGCCAGAAACAAACCTCCCTGAACATTTCTGAAAATGTGGAACAAGAGAACAGCACGGTGAGTTATTCTTACAACATAGACTTTGCTGTACAAGGTCAAGTACTTTTGAGTCGCTACCATCTTAGACAGATGTCAGCATTTCCCTGTTTCATTGGAATCACTCACAATAATGAAGTAGGGGCAGCTTTGCTATGGGACTATGGGGCAGATAAATAGTTGTTACATGTTTCAATTCTAATGGCTACTATTAAAAGACCACTGATGCCTGGGATGGGCTCCTGGACACTTGGCAGTGTCCTCACGGAGCACTTACTGTGGCTGCCACATTGATGTTGTACTGGTTGTCGTCCAGGAGAGGCCACACAGCCATGGTTGTGTTGCACTGCAGGTCATGCAGGGAGGTGGCTGCTGCTTCCAGCAGAAAGGCTCCAAAGTAGAAGACAAACACTGTAAAATGGTAGGCAAAATCCTAAAGAGAGGAGAGCATCCACAGGTAGAAGTTGTAAGGTGTTTCCTTGTTTTTTTATTACAAATGAAGTTTCAGTTAGGGAAGATCAGAACATGTCATTAAATGATCATAAGCATATTCATTATCATGTAATTAAATGATCATAAGCATATTCATTATTCATTTTGCTGCTTTAGCAAAATCAGGCCATTAAAATCTGAGTGAAAAAACCAATTGATCTATCTTACTTGGTACAATAGTAAATCCTCTGATCTACTGAATTTTATAATAAAGCTTATGACACCAAGTTGGATTAATGTACATAAACATCATTTAAAATAAGAAAGGTCTTTACTTTAAAAATAGTATAAATGCTGTCTTTAAAATTCAAGTATAACAGCATTTAATATATATCTTTTTATTAGTTATATATTTAATGATTATTCTATTTTTTAAACAATCTATCATCTCATATTCTGGAAGATATCATAGAATTCAATGGCATATATCTCTACATTTTATTAAAAACAAATAACATAAACTTTAAAAAATATATACAGATGGGCTGGGGGGATGGCTCAGAAGAGTACTGGTTGCTCTTGCAAAGGACCTGGGTTCAATTCCCAGCACCCATATGTTGGCTAACAACCACCCATAACTCCAGTTACAGGGGAATCTCTTCTGTTCTCTGAACATTGCATGACACAGGTACATTTACACACATGCAGGCAATACACTCATACACAAAAGTAAAAATAATAAAATATTTTAAAAGTATACAGAAATAATTATTTATTAGGTTATTTTATGTGTTGGAATTAATATGAAGTACAAATTATAATCCAGTCTTGATTATATTAATACATCACAAACATACTGTTGTTTATTATATTAAGATGTATTTATTTTTATTTTATGTGTATGAGGTTTTTTTTTGCCTACATGTACACATGTGCACCACATGTTTGTAATGCTTGTAGAGGCTAGCAGAAGGCATCAGATTCCCTAAAACTGGAGTTAAAAGCAGTTGGTCCTCTCCATGTGGGTGCTGAGAACTGAACCTAGGTTCTCTGCAAGAGCAGCCAGTGCTCTTAACTGCTGAGCATCTCTCCAGCTCCTTGTTCTATATTAACAGCTCTGATAGATGTTTCCTATGTGTTACTTACATTATATCCACTTTACAAACAGAATTTCTTCTTTTATTTTCACACAAAGATAACTTTTAGAGGGAAGCTCAATACCATGCCTGTTTGCTTCCAAAATCTATTTTCTTATTAAAGAGGTTAAAATTTTTAATTGACAAAAAGAAATTGTATATATTACTGTGTATAACATGTTTTTGAAATATATACATTATATATATGAAATAGCTAAATCGACCTACTTAACACATGCATTACCTCACATACTTACTTATTTTTATGGTGAGAGCACTTAACATCTACTTTTTTCAACTTTTCAGGATACATTGTTATTAACTACAGTCATCATATTATACAACAGATCCTTTGAAGGTACACTTTCTAAGCCATTGCATCCTTTAGCCAACATCTTCCCAACTTCCTCTCCCCTATATCCCCACTGCCATTTACTATCCACTTCTGAGAGTTCAACTTTTTTAGATTACACATACTCATGCAATCATGAGGCATGATTATTGGTGCCAGGCTTATTTAGTTGAACAAGTCCTCCATGTTTAGCCAGTCTTATAAATAACAGGATTTCCTTCCTTTTTCTGGAGGCTGAGTAGCATTTCACTGTATATCTATACTACATTTTATTTATCTAATTTATCTATTTTACTATTGATGGAGACAAGCTGACTCTTTATGCGAGCTACTGTAAATAATGCTTCAAAGAATGGGGGGCACAAATATCTCCCTAACATACTGTGGCGGTTTGAATGAAAATATCCCCCATAGGCTCCAAGTGTTTGGACATTTTGTCCCCAGATGATGGTGTGGCTATCTTGGAGGAAGCACGTCACAGGGGGTGGGCTTAGAGAGTTCGTAAGCCTTGCAGGATCTCCAGTTTCTCTCTTGCTTCCTGTGCCTGTGTGGTAATGTGAGAGCTTAGCTTCTGCTGCTCCTGCTCCAGCTACCTCTGCTGCCATGCCTCCCTGCACTGATGGACTGTAATTCCCCTGGAACCATAAGTGCAAATAAACTCTTCCTTCTGTAAGTTGCTTGGGTCAGTGTTTCTATCACAGCAACAGAAAAGTGACTAATACACATACTGATTTCTTTCTCTTCAGATATACACAGTAGTGAGATTCATGGACATATGGTAGCTCTACTGTTAAGTTTTTAAGAAAATTTCACATTGTTTTCTATAATAATAGTACAAATTTATGTTTCTACCAACAGTATTTGTGAATCCCCTTCAAAATCTACCTTTTTTTTTCTCTCAAAGGTATTACTAATACAATTTTGAAAGGAAATACTGCATTGAGTTTGTAAATGTTCACTCAGTCAACAACATTGTCCATAAAATTGTTTTTATTATGCCTAGAATATTCTGCTAGGTCAAGAAGGGTGAGACACACAAGGTATAATGCTAAAAATGCTTTCTATGAAACATCCCTAACTGCAAATTGAGAAACATTCTTCCAAAAAAGTCAAGAATGTATCACATAGTGGACACATGTCTAAGCCATAGCAGATGTCCAGAATTATGTAGCTTACTCAACAAATGTTTACAGATGAAGGCAAACACCCAAATTTGTTATGTACATCTTTTTAAAGATTTTTGTTTTTAATTATGTGTACATCTGTATGCCTGTGCATGTGAGTGCAGTACACACAAAGGCCAGAAGGGCGTGTCATATATTCTGGTGTTGGAGTTACAGGCAGTTGTGAGCTGCCAGATGTGGGTGCTAGGAACCAAACTCAAATCCTCTGCATGAGGACTGTTAGCCAATGAACCATTTCTCCAGCCCCAACATCCAAATTTAAATGTAAATGAATTCATGTGCTAAATGTACTTTATTAGGTTATTAATTTTTAGTAGTTGTAAAAATTGAGAAAGTATATTTAAGATTATTAAGCACTCATTTAATTTAGTAAGGATCCTCATTTCTGAATTCTCAGAAATGGTTTGTCTTATCTTAAAAGGCTGAGAGAGTTCATTCAATAAAGCGCTTATCATGCAAACATAAGGACCTGACTTCTAACTCAACCACTCACATAAAAAAAAAACCTGGTGTGGTGGTATGCACCTGCAATCTCAGCACTGGGGAGGGGAAGACAGGCAGATCCCTGGGGCTTGTTGGATAGTTAGCCTAGGTTATCCCCAAGGACTGTGCCTCAAAAATCAGGGTGAATGGCTAATGAGGAACAATGATGTCCAAGGCTAACTTATGATCTCTACTTGCACACACAGCTGCGTATACACCCCAGCACCTTGCCCCATGAAGGTAGAGATAAAGTTAAATCATGTGACCTACACTAGCTGTGAGATCTGGTCCTTACCTATTTCACTACCTCATACCCCTATGAATATCAGCTGCTATGGCCTCATTTTGGTTCTTAGGATGGACTCTATTTCTCAGGTTTCAATAGACTTGGGACATGCTTCAGGGCCTGAGCAAAGGCCACATTCTTTCTGGGTGACTTTCAAGGAGTTATAGCACACTGGGCAGTGACTGGTCACTATACTGCAAACAAGATCTTAATAGAGGCAGGCTGTGCTATGGAGCTTCTCGTGGACTCAGCCAAGACTGCATCACATCTGAGTCATATTCATAGACTTCTTTTTGCATCATGTTTTAAGGTGCTGTCTTCCTCCCATCCCAAATCAGATACATAAAATAACTGAAAAATAACTTCTTTTTCTAAATCCATTTTAAAGCTCGTTCCTTAGTGGCTTTGAGAATACCTAGATTTTTTTGGTACCTAGATTTTGGAAGATTACATAATTTTAAGTACGGCATTCATCATACAATAACTCCTTTACTTCCATGTCTATTACCGCAAACTTTTAAAAAGCCTCTCACAGGCCTGTGCACCACTTATTTCTAAGCCAGGCACCTGAGCGATAGAGAGCTAAACCACATAGCATCTGGCCATTCTGGGTGTCTTATTTCAGTTTGTGCTATGCACGGGCGCCATACCACATGTATTTAGTATGTTGGAACCCTCTGTGAGGTCGTTCATTGTTTTGGCAGCCCGGATCACTTGTGCTAATATTAGAATGTGGCAGAACCACCCAGGGTACTTATTCAAGCACTGGGCCCATCCTCAGAGCTTTGGACTCAGCAATCTGGGTGAGGGCGGGGAGATCTGAGACTGTACATTCTTGGCTGGTGCTGGAAGCTGATGCTCTGTTAGGGGCCGCTTTTGGAACCACCATCCTTGGCGCTTTATTAGGGTGGGTTCAGTCCTGTGCCAAGTCTCCTTCACATGCCTTTACTCCTAACCAATCACCAATCGTGCAAACACTCACACACCTGAGAGCACTTCCTCTTCACACCCCGGGAGCACTTCCTCTTCACATTTTTCTCAGGTGACCTCAGCCTCAAACATAGCTTGGATTTTTTTCAGCAAAATCTTGATCCAGTGCTCTGCTCTTTGGCTCACTAAGTAGCTAAAAATGGGAAACAGCTGCAGTGCCTGTGGGGGATCCCGGATATGTGGCAGGAGCTTGGAAGAGGAATGGCGGCCACGAGAACTCCAGTCTCTCACAGATGAAGACAATAAACACTCATCCATGAAGAACTCTCCAAACTGGACGCACACACCTGAGTTCCAGCACTCAGGAGGCTGAGCAAGGAGGCTCACCAGTGTGGTGACAGTCTGGGCCACATGTATATAGCAAGACTGTCTAAAAAGGAATTTTCCAGAGAGTCAGTTATGAAAAAGGATACGGTGGCAAAGAATACAGCTCAGGACATGTATATTATTAAGTGATGTTCACAGTGGGAAGATGTTCAAATGTGTACTTGCGATACTTTTGTGGAATGAAAGGAAACATACCTAATTTTATAGGATTTAAAACATCTCTTTAGTTTTCTAAAAATTATCTTTCCTTAGCATAGCTCCCCTATAAAGATATGGAATATTTTCTTTAAATTTATGCAAAAATGGTATTATTCTTCCTCCCAGAGAGACAGAGACATAGACACAGAGAGAAATGGAGAGAGAGAAACGGAGAGAGAAAAAGAGAACCGTTCAATGGGTTATTTTAAAATAAAAACCTACTTCTCTTGTGAAGGAAGGTGGCACAGACCTGTAATCCCAGGCACTGGGAGGTTGAAGCAGAAGGACTGTAAGTTCAAAGACTGCCTGGGTAACATAGGAAGACCTTATCTCAAAATAAAAAGTAAAAGAAGACTAGAGATGCGGCTGAGAGGCAGAGAGCTTTCCTAGCATGTATAAGACTGTAGGATCATCCCCAGAACCATACAAAAACAAAGAGGTTCTTTCCTTTCTCCAGATTATAATGGAGAAATATTTAAATATTTGATATGTTTTTATGTTAATTTTACCAAAAAATAAGAAGATTGGTAAAAATATTAAACATATTTAGAATGATGGATGTGAATTTCATTACATGATTAATAAGAACTAGGAAGCGTGGTGGGGAAGGGCTCAGTGGTTAGAGCGCTTGCCATATTAGCATGAAGACTGGACCTGTGATCCCAGAATCCACTTAATGTCAGGTGGGCATGGTGGTCCAACCTATACTTCCAACCTTAGAAGGTGGAGACAAGGGATCCCTAGAGCAAGCTGGGTAGCAGGATTAGCCATGTCAGTGGGCTCTGAGCTTGAATGAGAGACTCTTCCTCAATGAATAAGCTGGAACAGCTATTAAGGATGGTTGCTGATTTCAGCCTTGAGCCTACATATGCATGCCCATACACAGATGCATACCCACAAGCATACCCCATATATGTGCATGCACAGGTGTAAAACATGCACACACATACACACGAGTACCACACATATACTCATGAAAATAGAAAAAGAAAAAAATATGAAAAGTATTGCAGTATCCTACAACAAATTCTTGTAGACAGTAAATTATTTATAAAATGCTCTCTTGCTCCCCTCAATCACCGTATATAGAACAAACTAAACTATTACCTCACGGGAATAAGTTTTAACCAATTAATGCCTGACAGTTCCAGAATGTAGCAATTACAGCATGTACCATCTGGTGATGACTTGACAGTAAGCAGGGTTCAAAATTTTTCCTGGCTTGATAGTGTTCAAAAATATTACAAAACTAAAAATATTACAAAACTAAAGCTAGCTATGTAACAAAAAATAAATTTGTAAGAAGATAATTACATAGAAAGAGGATGAAAAGATGAAACAGAACCTTTTCTAAATCGAAAAACCATTTAATAAAGTCTGTGAAGGCAGGAGTTGACTCTTGGGAGGCATGCCCATCACACAGGGAGCTCTGTGCCATGGCAACCACAAGACCACATGCTATGTGCTGGACATTGGTAATTTGAAAATATGACATCTGAAATGCTCAAAAATCTGACACCTTTTGAATTGGTAACCTCTGTGCAAATATTCCAAAAATAAAAGAAAAAGAAAAAGAAACTACCTCCCAAATTTGAAACATTTTGGTTCTAAGCATTTTGGATAAGGGACTGTATCATTTTTGTTTGTTTACTTAGTAAGAGTGGACTGACTATGTTGGCTTAACATCAGAAAAACACCAAACAAACAATATAAGATAATTTTCTCAGGTGATCTATGGGGTAGACTATTATGCCTTTCTAATTTCTTTTTGAGACAGGGTCTCATTGTTGTAGCCCAGATTGGCCTTGAACTTGTGACTATCCTGCCTCAGGCTATACAGTACAAGATTCTGGACTTGTCCCACCATGCCCAACCATCCAAGTTCAATTGTCACTTTCATATAGTGGTGCAATTAAAATAATAAGGACACATGTTTTGTTTGAATGTTACATAGAATACTAAAAATGAGTGAGTGGGAAATGCAAAGTTAGCAAAACTATTAAATTAGTAAAATATTAATGTTCTCACTTTAGTGTCAAAGATAAGATTCAATACAAACAAGGGGGTACAATGTAGAAAAATGTCTAATAAGACCAGGGATGACATAAAAAATCTTAAAGATATTTTGTCATTGATGAGAAGTTACAGAAATATATAGGAAGATGAGAAAATATTTGTTACTTGATTATGTGATAAAGATCTAAAGTCCCTAATTAGGTTACAGATAGATGCTTCATATCTTTTTTCTAAATGCCTGGTTTTCTCATAATCAGGTCTGCAAACGAATCAGCTGATCCCAAGGTTACTAAGGGAAACCAAGTCTTTTCAGTATCAGGCTCGGAGATGTTATGAGATACGTTTGTTCACTGTGGTTCTGCTGGTACGGCATGACTCTTAATGATCACTGTCCCCATCTCACTGCCTCTCCCCAAATGCTGTATCACAATCACCTCAGCCTTTTTAGAAGGCCATGTATCAAACAATTAGAAAGAAAACTGGGTGCTGTAGGATCCTAGGGACCTTGTTTCCATATTGAACACTTCAGCTGCTGGGCAATTAGGAGATCCAGGAGAGTCCCAGGAAAAAGGCAAATTCATAGAAACAGAACCTTCCAACTTCTAAACTACATGCCCCAGTGTGTTTAACGAATTAGAAACTCAGTATTTCCATGATTCTTTAAATGGCATCTGGTAAGGCAGCTACCAATCACCGCCATTTTATGGAGGAATAAATTAAAATTCAGAGAGGTTAATGATTTTGTCCAAGGCAAACCAAACCTTATGTCAAAGCCTGTGGAGGGTTGTAACCCACTGCCTTCCACTGCCTTCTTAGATTATTCTAACTTGTGCCACCATGTGCCTTTGTGCTGTCTTAAAGAGCAGCCCCATTTGCTAGGCTTCAGTGCTGAGCATTGAAAGTACAGTTCTCCTAATAATGCTCTATGAATAAAACATTTCCCTTTGACATTGGTCCTAAAGCTGCCATAAAAAATGCTGTTATACTAAAAAAAACATGTATGAAGCTTGGCTGAAGGTCTGATTGAAGTTTCCAAGCACCCAAGTATGATTCAAAACCTAATGGGCATTAGTCTTGAACTTCACTAAAGCCCTATCCACCATGGACTGGAATCATCCTTAGTTGTCTTTCTGAATAGTCCCAGAGAATGAAGGCCACTGGTATGGAAGACAGACTCCTTGTAGCGCATGGGGAAATACAACTCAATTCCAGTGAATGGGGTCCTAGTTTAAACACTGTGTTTAATACTATGTCAGAAATTATTCTTCCAAAACTCACCATTTTAATTAATTTTGGAGAAGAACTGATTACAAAATATTCTTTTCTAAAAGCATTTGGAGAACAGAATATAGAGCGATCTGTTTTCTGAAAAGCACAAACAATCTGCCTTTCTGGATCTGTATGTCTTCTATGTGTGAATTTAATTAATCACACATCAAAAAAAATTAGGAAAAATGTGTCTGTTCTGAACACGTACAGACTATTTTGTCTTTATTCTCTAAACAATACAGTATAAAACTATGTGCACAGCATTTACATTGTACTATGTATTCTAAATAACCTGCACATCAGTTAAAGCATATAGAACAATGTGCAGGGTATATATTCTAGTAATTAAACATATTGTTTATACATATATATATATACACACAATAATACATACATATAAGCATGAACATATATGACTAGAGAATATAAGAGGGTGTCCAGCAATTAATCTTCCAGATATTGAGGTATGACTATACACCTTTAAATAGCTGAAAGAAATGAATGGAAAATTTCAAGGTACATGGGGACAATATTTAGTTCCCCAAGGCATCTGTTTAATTCTTCAATTATAATGCAATTCATTTATTTGAAAAGAAAGTTTTCAAATAAATTATCTTAATCATAAGAGAGTATCACATGATTTCTCAGCTCTGTCAATTTAGGAATTTTACAAACTGGGTCCTGCTGTCCACCAAGCCATACCTGGGCACCACAGCAGCCCCCAAGTGCTGACCTACTTTCCCCCATGGAAAAGCAATGAAAATAAGAGGGACTCAGGAATTTCTGAACAAAATGTGATACATATACATTCTGAACGTTTTCTTGCAATAGACTTACAACAAAAGTCTCTTACCAGGAAGTTCCAGTTGGCATTAATCTGAGTCACTGTACCAGAGAGGAACAAGCCCAGGAAGAGGAGGGAAAAGAAGAAAGCTGTCACAGACACGAACATGACCCATCCTTGCAGCAGAGGTAAAGGAACATTGGAGGAAGCAACCAAAATCCAGACGAGCCCCCCAAGCACCTGAAATTAAAAAAACTGGAGGTAATACCTCTGTGTAAAAGACTTCTGTGCCACAGAATTAAACATGCCTGCATCATCTTTGCTATACCCTGTCTCTCTCCAGGCCCCTGTATGACCCCATTTATCATTATTTCTGTATCATCACACAAGATGTTTTCTTCCTCAAGGTGCAAGGCTACCTCTCCTCGAAACCTGAGTCAACCCTGTACCTGGATCTTCATGTTGGAGTCTCTTGCCCCACCCGGTATTTGCTAGCCATTTAACTTACTTCCAGGGGTCCCACTGCCTCTGTATCCACCACCTGTTGATGGGTTTTCCTTTCCAGTCACTATGTTTTACAAATGGCTTTGTCTTTACTTCCTCTCCTGTCTGTTATTCTCTGTTATTCTTCAAGTAACAGAAAGGCTTCTGCTCTCACTGCTTTCCAGAGAGCTTATCAAATGAAGAACAGCTATAAATCCCTAATTTCCCCCATACAGTGGTCATTATTTAGGTTATAGCAATAGCCTACTTGTATTTTTGACAGTGCTTACTTATAAAATCATAGCTACAGCTGTTGTTCATGATAGTAAGCAATAAAAGCCACCAATATTTATTATCCATTGTGTTCTAGGCATCAGGCTTTTCTCTTTAGGTGGGTATAATAGTCAGTAAAGTTGAATACCAACAGGCACTGTGCTAGGTGCTGGAGTAAAATGCAGTCAAGCTGCACTGTGCTCCATCATTGCAGAACTCACAGTCTATTCTAGAAAGTGGACAGTCAAGCAAGTGATGAAAAGGCCGCTGAACAAATGCTACAGCTGAAGAAAATGTGGGCTCTACAAGTCCACAGGAAAGGCTCCAGACACCCATCTGAAAAGGCAGGCATCAGTAGAAGCCACAATCCCAGGATAGGGCTGGGGTGATGCAGAAGGATGGAAGGGTGCTTTGGGCAGGGAATGAGTTTGGGGAAAATCTGGCAGGAGCGAGAAGAGTACCTAGCACAGGTAAGGAATGCAGCACAGCAGGATCTGAGTGCCTGAGCCAGGTGGTAATGAGTTAAGGAGTCTTGAGGACAGGCAAGGAGATACAGTTCACCCCAGGACAACAGGAGGCCATGATCCTGAGCAGGAAGAAGCATATCCAAGACATACATTTAGAATTCTTTCTGGCTAGATGTGAGAATGGACTGGAAAGGGAAGTATGCAGGAAAAAGGTCCACATTGTGACAACACAGTATAGATTATGAGGGCACAGAGAGCAGAGTGAAGGTAATGCATTAGAGATAACTTTGGAAATAGCATAATGACAAGGACTACCCAGATACAAGATATCGCAGGAAAAATAGATAAAGAAAACCCCCAGGTTCTTGGCTTGGGGAACTAGCACTGAAAGAGCGAACACAGGAAACCAAGGTTAAAGACAAGCAATCCCGTCCATCCTACCATTGGAACAGTACAGGCAACTTGGCCTTTGTATGGCCCTGCAGGCCTTTTGCGCTCTGACTGTTTTTCATCCTTTTCTTATACCAGTGAATGTTTCATATTTTTATATTGCAGAAAAAAAAAAAAAAACAACCACAGCTAGAGAACAAAGCTCTTTCACATCTGAATGACCTGCACTTCCTGGCCCTGAACGTCACTGGAGAGTGCTTGAGTAACTCACTCATACCTAATCTTGAGCTATCATCTAAAAAATAATCTCTCCTGAGTTCCGCCCATGCTCAGCTACCCCTGCCCCCTCCCCGGGTGCCCTCCCTAGGAGGGATCTGTTACACTAATCAGACATGCATGGTAACGGAATGCCCTTGGTACTCACTCCATCTTCACTAGCAGGCCTTGGCAGCACACTACTTTTTATGTCTCTGCATCCCAAGCCAGCCATTTATTAATCCCATAGTAATTCTCTCCAAACTACCAGTTAGAAACTACTCTAGATTGGCTAACACAAAAACCTAGCCTATGTACTTTCCCTGAAGATGCCTCAGGCAGGTAGGAATCCCTCCCTCTCTCATACACAAGATGCTCTCAAAAATATTTGTTTAGTGAACAGACTAGGGCTTATGTGAGAGCAGTCTGAGCTCCAAATATGAAAAGCCAACAGTCAGCTGTATTTTGTTTCTTAGGTATTTAGATAAACCCAAATTGTAAATCACCAAAAGCTAAACAATACAAGATTTAATTCAAGTCTCAAGAAAAAAGGACTTAATCATATAATTTACTATATTTTGAAGAAAAAATGTGAAATATAATGTTATCACTTGCAAAATGATAATTAAAGGGCCCCTTTAGTAAATTTATAGTCATGGCAACATATCTCAATCCTTATTACTGTCAAATGAAAAATTAACAACCTAAAAGTTTTTAAAAATGAGGTTAAATAATGAATATTAGTGATGTTAATTTTTTAAGGAAGGAAGGGTTTATTTTGCTTACAATTCAAGGGTACTGTCCATCCTGGCAGAACTAGCACTATGGCCAGAGGGTGAGGTGACTGATCACATTGTATCTGTGGTCAGGGAGAGAGGTAGAGATGGAGAAAGGGAGAGGGAGAGGGAGAGGGAGAGGGAGAGAGAGAGAGAGAGAGAGAGAGAGAGAGAGAGAGAGAGAGAGGCTGGTACTCAGCTTGCTTTCTCTCCTTCATTCAGTCCAGGATCCCAATCTATGAAATGGTGTGATCTCCCATTTATGGTGAGTCTTCACACCTCAGTTAACGAAGTCTAGATTCTCCCTCACAGACATGCCAAGAGGTTTCCCTCAAAGGTGATTCTAGACCCTGTCAACCCATCAATACGAAGCCTCCTAGACAGCACTTGATTACTGTATACCGGAGAATACCAGAGATGTTTACCTGCCTCTCTTTTTATAGGTGAAGAAATGGAACTGATAGAGGTAATTTGTTCACATTTTCACGTGAAGATTTATGCAGAGGGATGAAGAATCAAATACAGATCTTTGTTTTCAAAGTCTTGCATCTTTCATTTCTTTTTAAAATATTTTATTTATTATTAATTTTAGTGATAATGAGTGAGTCTTTTATTAATGTGCTCAGATCACGGCATGCAATTCTTTTCTTTGTTTTTTTAATGTATGTTTTTTATTGAATTTTTGTACATTTCATACAACTACTTCATCAGTGATTAATTGTGACAGGAATAAACTTGAGTGTGGGAGGAGATTATCTACTCTTTTTATCATTTAATGCATATTTAAAGGCAATAAGAATGTTCTCAATGCATCAATCTTTTCTTCCTTCTGGTAGACTTTTCTTACTTTCTATATACAAATAATCTATATTACTTTAGATTTAGATACAGTTTAAGCATTGTACATCATTATTAAATTTCAATTAATTCAAGAATCGTTTACTGAGACTCTGTGTGCAAAAGCAATGGGGAAGAACTGGCTGTCCTTCATGTGGGACAGGCAGACTAAACAGACAAGCAGTCATGGCTCAGGCACTGTGGTAAATTCACATCTCTAAGTAAACCTTTGAAATGAAAGAAGGTTTTAAGAAACCTGAACTGGCCCCCAAACCTACTGCTTGGCACTAAGCAAGAACATTCAAGAAAAAGAGAACAGGCGAGGGTCGGTCTCTAGCAGTTAGAACTAAGGGAGAAATACATAGCATTTGGCCCTGTTTAGCACCCCGTTTTGGCAAGTGCTATGAAAAGAGCTCAGCACAGTGAGGTCTGTGAAATGGGAGAGGGGAAGGGAAAAGAAATAGAATCTGGAAAAGTGGGCAGCAAGGCAGATATGAAGTCAGGCTTGGGCATGGAAACTCTTCTACAAAGGTAAGGATTAGCGGCTCTGGCAAATTAAACTTAGAGCCCTTCCCATCCTCAAGGTTTGAGGACAAAACTTGGTGCTTACCTGAGAAGTGATCTGATTGGCCTCACATGTGGTGTGTGGGACCCATGGCAAGGAGAGGGAGAAAAGGGAGTATGCATGCCAATTCCTTCTCTTGCAAGTGATCCCACCCCCATACCCACCCCAGGCATTTAAGTGTAAGTCCTCATGGACTAGAGTTGAATGACAGAGGGTGGTTGGAATTAAGCTCAGATTACATGGCCACCTCCCCCATTGCAAGAATGCCAGGCAATTAGCCCGTGCAAGACCCTGGCATCAGTGCCCATTCTCTCACACACAATGAGCATCATCCTGCTGTAAAGGTAACTATGCTTTGACATAAGCATCTCTTCCCTTCATGATTTCCTTTTAATGAAGGTACTTTCCCTTCTAAACTTCTCAACCTGGCCCCAACATTAGCAAGTGAGCTTTCAGCAAGACTGCCCATGCTCAGTATACCTGCTTCCAATTCTAGGCTTCAATAAACTTGGAGAATTTCCCAGACATGGTAATCACCAGTGCCACTGTTTAGTTCAGATAGTTGGAGGGAGTCCTGCTTTTAGGGGTGAAAAGCTGAGCACTAAATGGTTAAAATCTGAGGGAGTAAAGCTGATAAAGTATCCTGGCAACAGCAGAGTGTGCACACTGTGAAGAGAGGTATTGGAAAAACCACAGTGCGCCCACATTGTTCTCATCCTGGATCTGATTTCGCATTCTGACCTCCTGTCTACCCTGCTTGCCGCTGCTCCCTAGTGTTCGGAAAAGCATGATAGTTATGCATAAAATGTACTTTCACTTGAAATTTTTCTTTTTGGTCTTTTTGATACAGGGTCTTCCTGTAGCTCCAGCTGACCTGGAACTCTCTATGTAGACCAGGCTGGCCTCGAACTCAGAAAGATCTGCCTGCCACTGCCTCTCAAGTGTTGGAATTAAAGGCATGCACCATCATGCCCAACTCACTTGAAATTTATTTAAGGAACCTAATCATGGCTCATGGCTCCAAGTCTCAAACTCCAACCAAAAAAGGCTTCTCTACTTCCAGGTGGGACAAAGGGGAACCCTTCTAGGAACATGAAAAGTTTTTCCTTGTGATGGATGCCCCCATCTTCTTGGCCCAACTCTAGGTATCCTGGCACACACACCACATCTCAAGTAAGTTCTGAGTTTCATTGA